AAATTTGCTTCGATGGCAAAACAATGGGTGTTGGATAAGCTGTATTTTGAATTATTGGAACACTACTAAGATCCAAATGGAGACCAGGACAGGAGATCCTTCAAGCTTAATGTGTTACATCTCAACTTGTCAAAATTGCACCATCAGTTCAACATGAAGAGCCTAGATTTAAGCTACATGTATTTGATAAACGTTTTAGTTCCAGAAGGAAGAAATGATGGTCAGTGCTTTTCTTGTTGACATGTTTGAACACTTGAACGATCAGCAAGTGGTCGACAATTCCTGTTTGGGTATGTGATAGAAAATATCTGGGTTTATACATGTAGGTGGCCTGACAATTGCATGACTTGTGTGATATTCTGATAGTGGACTTAATATGTTCCGTCCGTATTGCCGTGCTTCAAGATTTTTTGCTTTAAAATAGATTTTTCTAGGAAGTTTGTGATTTTGTCAAAATGTTGTCTATATATTCGTCCGCTGAAATGATGGTTGTGGAAAAGTTCCAGTTATGGAAGATATCAGCGAGTGGTCGACAATACCTCTTTGGGAATGTGATAGAAAGTGGATTAGAAGGAACTTTTGTAAAGGGATGTTAGGTGAATTCAAACCATCAATGGTGAAGGCTTTTGTGGAAGGGGCTGCTCTTTCATCAGATGCGAAAGGTTATTAGACATTCTTCGCCCTTTAGCTGGCATTGATGGCATTGAGAATCAATCTGCTACTGACCTGCTGTCAACATCAACTGAACATGATAATTATGAGGCAGATGATGTACTTGTACCTAAAGCTACTCACCACTAATTGAGGAAAGAGAAAGTTGCCAGTCAGTGGCAAAACTTAAAATCAGCAATGGTCAAGGCTTTTGTCAAAGGGGCTGCTCTTCCATCAGATGCAAGATGTGTCGTGTGTGAAGATGATGCGTAAGTGACACGTAGAGACTGTGGGCCAAGTGCCACATTTTGTTCAACTTGCTCTAAAAATATTCATCAGATGCAAGCTGTGTCATGTGCGAAGATGATGCGGAAGTGACATGTAGAGACTGTGGGCCAAGTGCCACATTTTGTTCAACTTGTTCTAAAAAAATTCATCAGATGCAAGCTGTGTCATGTGCGAAGATGATGCAGCAGTGACATGTAGAGACTGGGGACCAAGCAGGGCGCGACAAACCCGCTTGCCCGACGTCCCGGGGCAACCAAATTGAGCCGTCGGGCAAGTAAATCAAATTATCACTTGCCCGATTCGGGCAAGTGATACTTTTACAGTAATTTCCTAGTGTCCAAGAACTCTACCATTCACCCGTCAACTTCTTATCGTCGTCAAAATCCAGAAGCAAAAAAGCGATCGTTCCGATTTCGAAAAAACTTCACAGACAGCTAGCCAGCTCAGCTAGCTCAGCGCGCATGCAACAGTGACACTTCAAGCCATGAATGCCGCTCCGCCTCCACGCACGGCCGGCCGTGAGCTAGCTAGAGACAGCTAGCGCGATCGTACCAGCTGCGAGCTTATTCGCGCTCTCTCTCTCTAGCTCTGCAGGCCGCACCGACAGGCCTTTGCTATTCTCTGATTGCCGATTGGTTGAATCACGCCAAATATGACGTTATTATTCTAGGGAAATGAACACGTGCGAATCGGAATGGAATAAACAACAGGGATTTTCTAGTAAGTACAAAAAGTCAAATGTTTGATATTTATTCATAATGACTGTTAATGATTGTGAACATATTATTTAAAACTCGCTGCTCATATAAATCAGATGAATGTTTTTGTCTCGTTTTCAATTTATTACTGCGGTCTCAAGATCCGACCGAGCGAGTCATTTTGATAATAGTATCGAGACCCCCAGAATATAAGCCGTTGTTGTTTTGTTTTCATGGTTTTAGCGACGTTGTTTAGTCTAGTTTTCGCATACTTATCCGAGATTTATCGTAAAATATCTTCAATATTATTATTTAGTAAGAATTTACAAATTTTGGCATGATATTTATAGCAGTGAATGATGAAATAAAAATGTCCGTACTTTATTTAAAATAGTTGATTACCCATTATTTACATGACGTTTCTTGATGGAAGAGTTGACCCAAATTATTAACAGCTGAAAATTAGCCTACGTTTCCAAATGACAGCGGCTTGCACAGACACACATGTGATGTTGCACCATGGTACATGTGGCTACCATTAATGACACGTTTGTATCATATTTTTTACAACAGGGTAATTATGCTTTTTTACATGACTGAATATTAAAAACTTAAACCTGCTTGAACCATTCTACCTTGCCGAGATTCATGTGAATCTGATTATTTATGGAGAATCAATAAAATGCGTTTTTTAAACCTTCAACCATCCTTTGTTGACCATTTTCTTTGACATATTAGGTTATTATTCAGTACAGTTACACTGTACATGTATGTGCATTAATTTGCTATCTAAAACACTAACTTATCATTACGAGATAATAAATGCTTTAACCTCGAGTCCTTTTTCGCTTTAAAGTTTTGGGCAAGTGGAAATATTGTTTGGGCAAGTAAATTGAAAACCCACTTGCCCGACAGGGCAAGTGGTGAAAAAAATTCTTGTAGCACCCTGCCAAGCGCCACATTTTGTTCCTGTTTCTCTGATAAAATTCATCAAATACTTCTTCATAAGCTCCAGATATGGAAGGTAAACTATTTTTTCATGCTTTGGACGAACAGCTCTTTAAAACATGTGTGTCTTCGCGTCTTCAGTCTTGCTTACATGTAAGTGACTAAGAACCTTCAAGATCCTTATCAATCGGCCTATAGGGGGAAAGGCACAGTGTGGAAACGGCACTTCTCAAAGTTCAAAATGACATTTTGATAGAAATGGACTAGGGGAAACTTACCGGATTGGTTTTGTTAGATCCGAATTGCGCTTTTGACACTGTTGACCACCATATTTTAATTGAATGACAGATTGAAACAGATTGGCATTGGTGAAACAGGAGTTTGTCCCAGATCAGCTTACCGTACTTTTAGAGCCCCAGCCTCACATCACGGACCCTGATGATGCAGTCCCTGTAACAGAGACAGAAGGTGAAGCGGAAGGACGCCCTTAGAAGGTCATCCAGGAGACCTATACTTTCTCACTCTCTCTCTCTCTCTAGGTCATGGGGTCTTTTATCTCCAGCCATTTTCTGCTGGAGATTTCCTGCTACAGTATAGAGGGGAACACGTCATCTATTATGGTACTCTTTGGGACGGCAAGGCAGTTTTCAACACTAGTTGTTCAAAAACACGCTAACAGAACCCTTGTTGTTTCACTAGATGATGACGGCAATGCAAGTAAAGTTCTGACAGTGAAACAAAGCGGCACATGGTGTGTAAGAGTCTACAGGAAAAAACATTGACGCTGACCATCCTCACTTCACTGGCATCAGGTCAATCTGAATAATGCTGTGAACATAAAATCTCTTGAAAATACTTTTTAATCGTTGAATGTGTGCCCAGGAAATGCAGAATATGTTGCCCTAGCCGAGGAAAAGTTGAAAACGTGTAGTGTCTACTGCCACAACTACCCAATGGGGCAACCATCAGGCACATCAACTACAACAATTGTTATATGAAATGAATAAATAAAATCAATCAATCAATCAATCGCTGTGGACCTTGCACCATATGTAGAAGTTCGCTGGCTGCGGCTGCTAGTAAGAACTCTGTTGCTTCTTCAACAAGTACAAGCTTCTCACGCTTCACGCCTTTCCAACATCTTCATCCTGACGAAATCCGAGAAAACATCTGACAATCTCAAATTTCTTTAACAAATATTAAAAGAAGAGCGCACACCTTGGAGGAACGCATTGCCTGTTAGGTGAAAAGGGAGGCAGAGGAACTTCCTCGTGACAGTGTGCAATTGTTACAGTATGAGTCGTCCAGACAGATGGTCCGACACTTGGGACCTCAACCATGGAATTCATTACCTGATGACATAAAAAATAGCCCATAAACAATGCCTTTTGAAATGCTAAAATATGTTGATTTTTTTAAATACTTACACCACCTGAATTATTTATGCTCAAATATTTTTTGTGTATACTTTTCCTTCACACAGACCGCCTGTTTCCCTTTTGTTGTGTAGTATGTGTACTTAATTATGTTCTGTACCTACCTATATATTATTAATTTATTCCTGGAGACCAGCCTTTGACAGGTCAATGGCCTCTGTTGGCTCCACCAGTCTCAAGTATTTGTTCTAGGTGCTTAAAATTCTTTAAATATTGTTACGTTATTTCCTTGTATTGTTTTGTTGTGTTAATCAGATATTGTATGTAAATTGTTTTATGTTTTTTATGAAAAGTGGAAATAAATGAAAGCTGGATGATTGGCACTATGCCAATAGAATAAAACTAGATTGATAGTAAACATAACAATATTGATTAAGACTATTATAGAGATATTGATTGTGATGGTGTGTAATTTAACATTATTTGGAACGCCAAAGGGAGTTATAAAATATGATCACAAGGGAAAATATAACTCCCTTGTTGTAAAAAAAATGTATAGTACTCCCCCTTCCAGTTAATATCTGTTATGCTTGATAGCCTTGATCAGGGGTAATGGTGAGCACTACAAAAAAAAAAAAAATCTTCATCAACAACCCCCCTCCCCCTTAAAAAAAATAATGGCATCAAACAACAACAACATCCCCCCTTTTAAGTGAGAAAATTGGGGGGGGGGGGAATAGGGAAAAGAAGGGAAAAGAAGGGAAAAGAAGGGAAAAGAAGGACAAAATCATGAAAATAGGGGTAAAGTCAGAAAAATAGGGGTAAAATCAGGAAAATAGGGGTAAAATCAGGAAAATAGGGGTAAAATCAAGATGGAGAAAAAAAATCTGGGAAAAAATAAATTAAAAAAACGGATAAAAAACGATTTAAATCAGGTAATTATCAGGCCTGCTTGATTAAACTTTGTTAAGAGTAATTGCGTTTTTGTGCCTTGTTGTTGTTGGGACAACCAACCTTCTGTATTAAATACGCCCAGCTAAGACAATGAAACAAAGAGTATGCGCAGGGATGCTTAGGTACGACATAAAGTAAAACTATACTTATTTGACCAGGTAGTCAATAAAACCATTGAAAATGACCAGGAGTGACAAAATTATGATCCTCGCAATTAATATTATGTGACGAGCTGTGGAGCAATAACACATTTCTATATATCTATAAGAGCTATCTACTATAAACATACATAAATTTGTACTTCATGTACTTATCAAAACGTTAAATCAAATCAGTGTCTTTCCTTGGCACGTTGTTGAATATTACATGGTGTAAACTGGAGTAGTAGTTTATAAGCCTCACTAACATCTTTATATAAAATACAAATAAATAGCACTACTGTACATGTCTATATTATATGTTAAATTAAACAAAAATCAAAATATTTCAGCCTAATGTTTTTTTTTAATAGAAAAATAAAAACCTCTTGTCATCTTATTGCACAAGTAACTGCTGTTATCTCTCCACATACTGCAAACTGTTCTTGAGCACCTCCAGTAGTCTTTGGTAGACAGGTGTTTCTGATATCTTCGTGCCCAATGGAAGTCCTTTCTGTTGAAGACACTCCTGGAGAACTGAGTCTATCTGTCTGGCTACCTGTGTTGGAGGTAACCTGAGCAGGCCTGGTGTGCCATAATGTCTGCTGAAGATATCTGCACAGACAGCCTGCAGAGGAAAATTGAGAAAATATGAAGGTCAAAGAAAAAGATGAAGACATGGAGAGGAAGAAAAATCAAAGAAGAAAAAAAAGAATAGGACAATGACAAGTAAGAAAACGAACAATAAAATGAAGAAGTTAAAGAAGAAGTAGAAGCAAATGAAGAAGATGGCAAAGGACAAGAAGATGATGGAAAAGAAGGAAAAAAATGGAAAAGAAGGAAAAAAATGGAGAAGAAAGAGAAGAGAGTATTCAGAGAAAAGAGGGCATTTTTTTTCTTAATTAAATGACAAAATGGACGACATAAAAAAAGCAGAAAAAATATCAAATCATGGAAAAAAGAATATAAATAAGAGCAAACATTAAAATTTAAACTTTTGAAGATAACAAACCCATCTGGCATCAATGATTAATTTGGGTGATTTTATGTTAAAACTAATTAAATTAAACACCAGAGTGATTCACGATTACACATTATGCTTTAGACCATTGTCACTATTTCTCAATATTAAGACCATTCAGAAGAAAATATACTACTCTACATTGTACCTTAAAAGTGTTTTTACATCAAGCTCTACAGTAAATGTAAAACAAAGAAAAAAATTCTTCAGTTTTTACAAATTGCTACTTAGCAAATTGAAAACTTTCAGCTTATGTCATTACCTGAAGATTTGTATTAGATCGCTGACTATTGCACCTCCCCGACGTTGTATTGCAGGACCCTTTACAGTCAAAGAAATGGCACTCTTGGGCAGAGGAGCACTCCGGCTGGTTGAGGGTAGTGTCCAGCTGATTCTGGAAGAAGGTGATGTCCACATCGATGGCCTTGACCACCCAATCCTGCGTCACTCCAAAGTTACTGTGCTTCACGTCGCACAGGTGCAGTTTCTCCGGGAACTGATCGTCCACGGCCCCGATGAACTCCACCATGGCCATGGCGACCTTAGCCCGATTCAACCAGGGCAGGGAAGCCAACTGATGCTGCATGCTGATGGCGCTCGGGTTGAGGATATACCCCGGAGGCACGTACTCCAGGATGTAAAAATGGCCACACGTGCCGTAGATCTCAGGATAATGGCGAAATTGGTTCCAGAATTTGTTCAGGACAAATTCCTCTTGCTGCAGCAAAGCCCACAGGCTAACGATTTCTGAATCGGTTAGTCCTTCTGGAGTATCTTCCCGACTATATTTGCTCTTCCACATGTGTTTGAGCAAGTCCTCTTCGGTCATCTCCAACTCAAAACCAAACTGCCCTTTAACCTGGTGATAGACCATGGATGTGAACAGCGCTATGTCTGGTACCACAGTCCTCATGGCGCCCTCTTTGTCAACGATGGAGGCAAAAGGTCGTGGATAGTCTGAAAGATGGCTGTACTTGGACTTCAGAATGACAGGATCCCCCTTCCAGGACCCACGGAAGACAACCTTGCCCCTGTGGTAGTTGAAGCAGGAGACATACTGGATAGACTCAGTCTGACACAGATCATAGCAGAGATTGCCATCTACGTGGTTGCTCTCATACAGCTGGCACTGAGGGCAGAGACAAAGAGCAGTGGGAAATAAAAATAAAGCGTGAAAATAAACAATCGCCGACAAATATTCATTATAAGACATAGAGATAAATCAATTTTGTTATAGTGAATCCACATGTATACGGTAACATACTTTTTACCAAATGACGTAAGTTTATCCTCTCAGTTTACTTTATTTCCGTACCATTTACCTCCAACTAGTGATTTTGTTCTACAAGTGTAAAATTTACCTTTTCAAATGACGTTTTAAAAATCATCTTACCTCTAAAATAAAATAAACATAAAATAAAAAATTATTATTTAGTGAATCTGTATGTATAACATACTTTTTACCAAATGACGTACCCAGTAAGTTTATCCTCTCAGTTTACTTTATTTCCATACCATTCACCTCCAACCAGTAATACAGTGATTTTGTTCTACAACTGTACCATCTACCATTTCAAATGACATTAAATCAAGTACTAAATCCTGACAGGATGTATTCCACAGCGCTGTCTAAAGCCCAATGGGAGTTTCACTTTTGTATCATGAACATGCAATACAAGCTCAAGTGATCTTTGCCTGACCTAGGCCTGACCATTTTCCAGGCATCAGGCCCCAGTTTTAAAGAAACCCATGAAGACTCCTTCTTTCCCCTAAACAGGCTTACACTGTACTTTACATTTGCAAAATTTTACTCACCAAATCTTTAAGGATCTTTTTTGCCTTTTCGTCTGGGCAAATAATTGCAAGCGACCGGGATACCTCATGGGTGAAGTAGATTACAAGCACTATCATTCCAACTACTAGACTCCTTACCAGGAGTCTCTTTGAAACTTTTCTCATGGCTCTGGTATTTCCTCATTGCATTTGAAGTAAATCATCACTTCCAGTCCAGAGGTTTCTAGAAGAATATCTGCCATGAAAAATATGAAAATCAATCAATATAACAACAACAAAAACATGTACACATGATGAAATATATTTCAGGGATCATCAATTATGAAGGTGTGAGGGGTCAACAGTCAAAACTAACAAACTACAATTCACTGTAGTAACAAGTCTCAGTAATATCTGTCTATTGCAGCCACCCAAGGGAAAGAAGTGGCGACTTGAGAAAAATTGCCTCCCTAGACAGGTTATGACACACCTCTCTCTCGCGAACTACAAACTACATGTACACAACAGACTGGTTGTCAGAAAGACAGGTTAGACTGTACATTTCTTGTATTTGTATATTCTTAAAATTCTCATTCTTGCTGGGAACCTCTGATTGCCACAATAGGTGTTAGTGGATTTTCAACAAACCTCAGGTCTTGACTGAGCTATTGCCTTTTGATAATAATAGCAATTAGTTTAGTGTATTACCAGCAAGTGGTTTGCACATGCATATATGTAGAGTTTGCTGAATTAAGCGGACTTCCTGACCATGCCTTGCACTAATAGCTATTGTTGTATTAAGTGTGAAGTTGGCAAATCAAAAACAGGCATAAAAGTGCATGCTCTCCACAAAACGGAGACAAAATTACTGCCAGCACTAGAGTATTGGTGCAGTGCATGATTTGATTTCTTAATGTTATGGAGGGTTTATGTCGAGGTTGTTAATAAAGGCAGACCTGTAGACTTCTACATCTATCACAATTTATCTTGGTTTAGGGAGGAATCACCCTTTTTCCCATCAAACTTCAATTCAAAGACTTCTTCAAATTATAATATAATTTCAAGTGGTTGAACCAGGCGTGTATGCAGGGGGGGGGGGGGGGTTGACCCCCCCCCCTTTGGTATTTTTTATGTGTGTATTTTGGAGGAAACCTCCCCCCCCCCCCCTTATTTTTTTTCTTTTCAAATTAGGGTAGAGTGCCCAGTATTTGGTCACTTAAGATGAAATCACTAATATTTTGAATTCTTACCTCTTTTATTTGGCAATCTACCCATCAAAAGAAAAGAAATTTATGCCTCTAACAGGATTTTATAGTCACTTAAAATATAGAATAGTGATCAGCCAAATGATTCTGAAAGAAGACGGAGCATTTTCCTGCCCAGAATTCGGTCGCGCCGATTAGAATTCGGTCACGCGATTTGTGCGTGGTAAAGCACTGAATGTCAATGCGTTGCCCGAATACTGGCCGAGCGATACCGCATGGCAAGGGTATCGTATAAATACCTCTCGCACATCGGCAAGTGCGTCATTTGCAAACTCACTGCAATGGAGTGAACACGAAAGTGATTCTCTTCACACACATGCTAAATTCATTGCGAAAGCACACGTAGTTGTTTCGCAAAAGACTTCTACATATGGCTATGCATGTTAGCGCATGTGCTAAGAGAACGCGGAAGTGCAGAAAGTTGTGCGACGCTGACCAATTTCGAGCTAAGTTGGAGATCTTTCCGGGGCCCTAAATCTGATTTAATTTTGAGAGTTAAGAAAAGTTGTTCAGCTGCCTGATTTGTGCAAGTTTTGTGGCTCTTAAATTATTTTTTAAATTGTTACAGCTGTTGAAACGGCTGTCTGACTGAATACTGGGCGCGCTACCCTATTTACAATAAAAATTAAAAAAATAAAAAATTATGCCAATGGCTGACCCCAAAAAGGTGTCCTTACCCCCCCCCCCCCCCCCCCTTCCCCCTCAACAAAGAAAAATGTCAAATTTTCGGCCCGATTTCTAAATGTTAAACCCCCCCCCCCTCAAAAAAATCCTGCGTACGCCACTGGGTTGAACGGATGCCAAGAGGAGTCGATAAACATCGTAATTTGTATGTCAAAATTGTAATTACTACTTCTTTACATTTCGAAAAAATGTGACTGCCTGAAGTAATAATGCTGACCAAGCAATAAGTTGAGCCGCGCTGCATGCTGCACTGCTACACAGGCGCTAGGCGCATGCTTCAGTACAGCGCGCAGGCGCGAGGTAAAATACAGCCGACATCGGAACACAAACTAGTCTACAACCACATGCCACAACATCATAACTGATTATTGACAATATCACTAATACAAGCAACATAACATTAATTATTGAGTATATTTCCTACCGAAGAAGTTCTAGTCATCTTACCACCCCAGTCAGTAGAGTCACACTTCATTAGTTGCACGTTCAAGTTTCGCAGTTCACATTATAAGTCATGCGCCGTAAGTGGCGCTAAACTTGATATCGTTCTTTATTATTCTCTTAATCTTGAGCTGGCTTGGATTATGGATCAACATCACCTTTGACTTTGTTATTTCTCATAGACTATTCACCCTTTTTGATCGACAACCTTGCCGTTGATTGAGTGAAATGTGTAAGTCAGTTCAGCTAGTCTCCTATTAGTGTTATTTTTTCTTATTTATTAGATGGTTTTATTTAAGTGTGTTGTGGTTTGCAGTGCAGTGTAACTAATCTTTTTAGCAGGGAGATGGGAGAGAGTGTTTAGGACTAACTCGCAAGAATCTGGCGGTGGCCAGCCGGCCAGGAACTCGGCTCTGGCAGCCTGCATGCGCGACTTTCGAATGGGCCTTGGGCTTGGGCTTGGGCTTGGGCTTGGGCTTGGGCTTGGCAGCAGCTAGCTGCCTTGCCCTTGGCAAAGCCTGAGGCCATGGACCCGGCTAGCTACGTCTACCTTAGTCCTTAGACCGAAAATTTCTGGAAATGCGAAACGTCTGCGATAAAGCGGACGATCCTTATTTTTGCCGACGCGTCTGTCCTTGTTTACAAAGACGATCCTCGTTCATGCGGACGATCCATATTCTCGGACCAGCGCCCCTACTGATGCCATGGCCATTCATTTATTACACAGACAGAGGGAGTCAGAGGAGCCAGATGTAATCTTAGCGGAAAAAAAATGTCGATATCAGCGCGTAGCTAGGATTTTATAGGGCCTACGGGGCAGTATTGAGCATGCAAATCAAGCAAATCTCTTACAGAGCGTGCACTCCCTTGGGGGGGGGGGGTAGGTGCAGGGAGGGGGGAGACGTTTCATTAAGATATCTGAGAAAGAAAACAATTCGTTGAACAGTTCTCACGTCTTAGTCCTTGTCTGAATTCAGTTTGCGCGGAAGCTTTAACGTTTCATTATTATTAGAGAAAGAAGACGATTCGTTGTACCGTTCTCGACTCTTAATCCTTGTCTGAATTTTCAAAAATGTTTCCCGTTAACTCCTTTTTCTTCCTACGTCCTCTTACTTTTTTCTCTTCTCTCTCTCTGTTTTTTGTGGGTTTTTTCTGGTCAATATCATTATCAGGGACTGAAGCTTTCGGTCTAGGCTATGCTATGTTTAATCTATCTACTAGGCTCAAGGCATCACACTCACAGAGATTGTAGACTTTGTTACTGTTTTATGGTTCTTGTTCAAGCAGAATACAGTTACTATTGACAATGACATTGTTTCAAATCCATGCCCATGGTAATAATATACAATGAACTTCATTAATTTCTTGATTTGTTGTCATATTTATGCATGTATTCTATGTTCTTTTATTTGTCTCTCAATATGTAGAATAGAATTTGCTTCAATGGGTGTTTGGTTATATTCAGCTTCCATACATACAGTGATGTGTCTCTTTGTAAGAGGGATGTACTACATTTAGTTGATGAAAAAAAGAGGAGATGGATGCAATGGATGACTTAGATTTACCAAAGGCACAAGCCATGCCGTCGATTCCCGTAGCATCCGATGCTCTACCTTCAGGCTCCAATCCTTTACGAAGGTCTACCTTTCCCACTCTGGCATTACCCAGTGGAGGTCTGAAAGTGCCCTTGAAACCAGGGCGCTACGAGACCGAGGTGGACACCGCACCCCTCACCCCTCCCAGCTCCTCCCACAATCTACAGCTTGTCTTTGATTCCGGTAAAATCTATGATAACCACCCAAGAAAGTACAGGTGAAAAATGAGAATCATTCATCCAGTCACTTTTCATCATTTTCTCCATTCTAATTTTTGTTTTAATTGTTGAAACTTTCCATGTAAGCACAAGATTTGACTCTCTGAATTTTTTTTCAATTTCAACCGTATGTGGATTGATAAGATGTTGTAGAGCAATTCAATCTGTTTCTTGTTGTTTTTGAACTACTCCATCAAGTTTTTTGCTTATGAAATTTTATTTCGCAGTGCCTTTTCTTGATTTTCTTCTACATGTATGTTGTCAATGAGTGTATTGTATTTGATTTATAACATGTGGAATATATATACAAGTATAGAATTTTTGGAATTATAACCATATTAACCCCCCCCCCTTATATATTAACAAAATGTATATTAACAATTTGTTGAGTGTTTTGAAGTGTTTGCAGTGCCATATATTGGTTTAATGTGCATACTGTTTTGTGAAGGGTATATTAATTGATGTATGATAAGATAATGAAATGAAAGTAAGATGAAGTTTTGATGACAGTGGTCATGACAGGATATACATGTACATGTATGCATGATAATGTTAATGAAAATTGTTTTTGAAATAAGAAGGACTTATGAATTAAAATGCAATTAATTGCATATTTGACTATTTTTAAAGCTTACGCACATAGAGTTGAAAAATAAATCTGTTTAAAATTTCAACTTCTAGTGTGAATCGTTAAAGAATGTACATATTTGACATTGATTGACAGGTTACTGTTAGAAACTGACAAGGATAAGAGTGGCCATAGCAAGAATCTCTCCCTGTCGGCATCATCCGCCACCGATGCCGCCCCTACTAAGACCCCGCCTCCATCTGTCACAGTCCAAGATGGGCAAGTCGTAGCCATGGGAACAATGACCAGTGGTCCTGCGACGGGTCCCAGCCCCACGCCAGATGCAGCAGCAGCAGCAGCAACGCCAAAGTCGTTCACAACATCTGCTACCGGAGGAGCCCCGTTCACCCTTTCTGAAGCCATTTCGTCCGTTGCTGTCAAGAAAGAACCAGGTACAGAATTGGCAAGAAATTTGGAAAACTTTCAACCCTAATACTAAACCCTAACCAGTCACCATTAAAAATGTCTACCAGTATGTTATTTAGAGAAAATATACATATTATTCCCTCTCCCCATTTAAAAAAATACAAAAACATTTTTTTTGTAATTACTGGAACAGTAATGCAAAAAGAAAAAAAAATGAGTAATTTAAGAGAAAAATAAAAGAGCTTTTAGAGAGAAAGTAAAATGTGTTTTTTTATAGCTCAAGTTTTCTGTGCACTTTGAATTTCAAGATTGTAATGACAAGCTTCTTTTTGTTATATTTAAAAAAAAATGCAGTCTTATTTTTTTAACCGTGCAATCTCTATACAGAAGACTTGAAGATAGGATTATATCAAAGATATTTATAAGCATACAAAGCAAATCATATTTCAATGATTGGTCACCTTTCATGATTATGATTACGATTATGATTATTACTGACAGTAAGTCAGATAGAGAGATGTGTTAAGTTCATTATAATGAACTGAATAGAGATGAAAATCCCTTTTAGAAAATAATTATTTTGTATCCATGTATTCTCTTTGTATCATATTTTTGTGATCATGTCATGATCATGAAGAAGTCAACAATTATTCATTTGTATCGTTGGACTCGGTCTCATTCAGCTCTATATTCTTTACAAATTATGTTTTCCGAGGAATTTCCCACCATTCACCAGTGCAACCTGTATATAAAGACTGCTGAGAGGAGACAAGAAAAGTAGTCTCAACGGGCATGTGGTCTTTGTTTACAGGCTCCTGTGGTTCATGTTACAAAGAGAAACACTATTCAAGGGAAAACAAAACATGCGTTTTTAAACAGATGATCGCTATTAAAAGGAGGTGTCACTATATCATACACATACTTTGTATTTTATCTGATATGTGTTCCATACAGGTGGATCTCGATATGTTCCTCAGGAGTTCCTGCATACATTCAAGGCAGCCACAACGCTTGGTCCTACGTCTGATCAGAAAAGCCAACAAAGAGCGGGAACTTCGTCGTCGGCCGAGATGCCCCGTTCATCAGGGAAACCAAGCACAGGAATGGTCCAGAGAAGCAATGCACCGATCTCTAAGATATGTACACAAGAAAGGTAAGGTGTATTCCTTGTTTCCTGCATTCATACAAAGCTTGATAAAGCCACTCAAGAAACCATCATACAAAATATAATAATAATAATAGTGTAAACTTATAGAGCGCACGCACCGTCCAGGGACGCTCATGGTGCTAGCTCAGTAACAGTTCTCTTTAATACGTGTACAAGTAAAGTAAATGTTTATTTGATAATCGAGTTACATTATCAGGAACTCAAAAATAATTTTGCACGTTATGACATCGATGGAGAGAATTTCCACATTTCTGCATCGTATAACGTAGAGATTAGTAGATGGTGGCCTATTATTTTATTTTTATTTTTTTCATGGGGGGGGGGGGGATTCACTCAGTCACTTACTTCACCATCAATTTGCCATTCATTTACATGTTGAATAGTAAACATCTGAATTCAGATATGAAGCACAACAATTTCAATTATAGAAAACCAGAGGGGGGTGGGGGCAAGAACATCAGCATTGTTAAAGTTATTTACTTGTGATAATTTTTCATTCCAAAACATCTAGCACTTTTTGACGAAAATTTAGCAATGGAATTGATATAGCCTACATGTAAAAATGTAGATGCATTGCATGACAAAAACACCTTTACATTTCCTTTCCACTCATTATTACATTGAACATCAGCATTGTTAAAGTTATTTACTTATGATAATTTTTCATTCCAAAACATCTAGCACTTTTTGACGAAAATTTAGCAATGGAATTGATATAGCCTACATGTAAAAATGTAGATGCATTGCATGACAAAAACACCTTTACATTTCCTTTCCACTCATTATTACATTGAACTGCAAATGCACTCAGCCAAAACAAACACTGTTGTATGCATATCCCATCATGATGGTTACTCATTGTCCACTGAATGCTCTTTGGACTGGAACCCTGGGAAACATGTGAACCGGCCTGGCACATGAGCGTCCTTAAAGATAAAGCTGAGTTATGGTCATGCGATTGCATAGTGAAAGAAACAGTGTGGAATTGATCAGAAAAGATTGATCATCTAGTATATATATAACTATTGGAACTCAGTAATATTTTGCTCCGGTTCATAACATTACGAACCAGAACAA